AGAAGTTACAAAACATCTAAAAAAGTAGCAAACTGGGTGGTTTGTGTCAAATCGCTCTGGCTTTAACTAATGCATTCCACTACACTGACTGCAGAGTCACACCTCTGACCTTCAATTACCAGGAGTATCTTCACATACCAAGAAATACATGGAAACCACAGGATAAGGGTCAGAGAAAAATAAGACAGAAAAATGTGTGTGGGCCTAAAAATGACAGAAGAGAAGAAGAAATGGGAGGGGGGGAAAGTAGGAGAAACATAGTAAGAAGCAAAAGCATCAGAGAAACTCTACTGTATGTGACCATTTGACCAACACCTGACCCTACATTAAGGCCTATTAAAGAAAACAAGTCAGTTTCCACAGAATATGAAGCAGCACATCTGTTTTCAACATTGACAATAATCAGAACTGTTTCTTGAGCAGCAAACCAGCATATTAGAATGATTTCTGAAGATCATGTGACACTGAAGACTGGAGTAATGATGCTGAAAATTCAGCTTTGATCACAGAAATAAATTATATTTGAACATATATTCACATAGAAAACAGTATTTTAACATAAATTCACATATTTCACAATTTTACTGTTTTTACTGTATTTTTGGTCAAATAAATGCAGCCTTGGTGAGCATAGAAACATGTAAAAATCTTACCAACCTAAGTGTGTATACAGTAATATACAATATTTGCAATAACAGCTGCATATTATACAACTGTAGCTTAACCATGTCATCTATATATAAACACGTTTTCAGGAAAATTGTAATATGGATATGCATATGGATGGCATATGAATTCATAAATGTAAAAACAATGCAAAGCATTACTGATTGTTTGCCTACTTTTACAGTACTGTCAGTAGAACTACCAACCAGTGTGTTATTGCTAACTAACACTATTAAAAGCAGTTTTGTTACTTGAAATAAAGCTGAAATAAAATAAAAAATAAAATATAAATATTAGATTTAAAAAAACTAAAATTACTAAAAAAAATACTAAAACTGAAATAAAAATAAATTTAAGCTAAACTGAAATATTAAAAAAATATATAAATATGACAAAATATGTCACTTGAAATAAATCTGACATAAAAAATATAAACATTAGATTTGAAAAATATTGACTTAAACAAAAATTAGAAATGTTGCCTTGACAGCAAACTGAAATAAAATAAGTTTTTACAATTACTAAAAAATTGCTAAAACAGAACTAAAAATACATTTAAGCTACACTGAACTATTAAAATAAAATGACAAAAGTACATAAAATGTACATAAAGTACTTAAATTTAAATAAATAAAATTGCTAAACTTAAATTAAATAAATATGAAAACGGAACAAAATAATAAAAGCGCATTCAAAATATTAGTAAATACTATAAAAAAACTAAAACAACACTGCTCCCAACAACAACTTTCAATACATGACACAAAACTAATGATTTGAGTTTGCAAGGCATAAAAACACATGTGCATGATCAACACGGTAAGCAGCAGTGACACACAGCACCGGCCTGTCAGCTGAACCGTAACGCTCTCACTGGCCTCAGGCCATCATGATTATTCAGCCCTGTTATCGATTACCAAGCACTTTCAAGAAAAGAACCAGAAACAGCAGCCATCTGAAGAAACTCTGACTGATCTGAGATCTGTGCAGGTGTTGGGGGCAGCATACTCTAGCCCTTGGTCAGATTAGAGAAGTAATTATTCTCCAGAAAGGTAACAGAATAAGGGCGTCCTCCTATCTGTCCATATCCTTCTCTCCGCACTCCTCTGGGAGATGGAGGGATGTTGGCAGAGGGACACAATGCACGACTGTGTTCGGCTCACAAATCTCGAGAGTGGCACTTTTGTGAAGTGAAGGAACATTAGACGCAGTGGACGGGTCTTTTTCAGCATCCACAATGTGGACAGAGCGTTAAATCAGGGTCGGACAGCAGTTAGGGCATCGATGTAGGGTTTGGGTCAGATTGCATTTCACTAGCATGCAGAAAGCGGTCGAAACTAATGAGAGACCCCTGCTATCGCTTCAATTCAAGTCGAAAGATGGTCAATCGCTGCATTGATTGATTTAAAGCAAGATCATGCTACATGCAAAAACATGCATTGGTCAGTTTTGAAATTTGGCATTTCATAAAGTGTTCTTTCAGACTAGTGGAAAGAACATTCAAAATACACTTACGTGTTTATTTTTGCACTTTATCGCATCTTTAGATTTCAATTTCAGTAGGCTACATATCTTTAAGGCTATGAGTTTCAACAGCTCTTGCATGCACGAAATTTTACAGTTTTATTTCTAGCTATCTATATTCCACATAAGATTTTTACTGAAGGGTTTGTTCATTAATCATTTGCCTGGTTTTATACAACACTTTATTCCTTAAAAATAAAGTAAAACATAATTTTTTGGCTGTTGACAGTATTTTCAGATTTATGAAGTGATAAAAAGAGAAATACAAAATCCTTGTAAAAACTAGTATCCAATGTTCAGATTTCTATTATTAGATTTTGATTATCTACCATTAAATATATGCATATTACCGCATATTTAACTAGATAATGACTCATTAGTATATTTAGACATAACATTTTAGAAAACTTGTAATACAAAAAATGTTTGCAATTCTTCATGTAATCAATCAACTAAGGAAGTATGGTGATATATAATAGAATTTTTTTTTCTTAAATAATGATGAAACTGTCCCAATGATGAAAATCCCATTAAGTTTAAATTCAGATCTACATTTGGGTCCGTTCACCCAAAAATGAAAATTCATCATTGAAAACAGCTTTGTTCAGGTGAACTATTCCTTTAATACAAGTGAGTAAACAGGTCTGAATCTCGGTGGTTTTGTTCTGAAAGGCTGGTTGTTGTTTATCGACGGGCCGCTGGGGTTCGTTCACAGAGATATTGGGTGCCTGCCAGCTCATCTGGGTTACGTGATTCTATCATGTTGGACCATGAAGGCAGGTCATTGTCAGGCTGTGCATCGACATGAACCGTGTTTAGAAGAACATACGCTATATGACCCATTCATAAGATCATTTCCTCATTAAAAATGTCCTGAGGGACTAATTTAACACCAATGAACCCATCGGGGGGCAGGCGAGTGATGGCATCTGCTCTAATTATTAGATTATTATCTAATTATTATCAAGGTTGTGCTCATGAACAAAATACTAGATTACTGCACAGCATTCTATTTTTAAAAAACAGTATGTGAAACAGCATACAGAAATGATTACATGCATACAGAAAATGCACATAATATGCATTTTACATGCAAATGTAAAATGCAAAAACAGTAGGTTTACTACGAAGAGTTATTTTTTTCTATCCACCAATCTATAATTTTTTCTCTCTCTAAGTTATTTGACTATTAATATGATTAACTTATCTATAAATAATGACAATGACTTACTCTTACATTTTTAAAAGTTGTATTCACCAACCTTTCTCTTACTTAGTTCAAAAATAAATAATAAAATAATATCCATAAATAATAACAATGTAAAAAAAATTATTATTATTACTACTATTAATAGTAATAATAACGATAATAATTAGGGTTGCAAAGGTGTGGTACATTTCTGGGAACTTCTGGAAAGTTACCAAAAAAAATCTCCAAAAATTTCAGAAAGTTTCTAAAAAAAATCCTGTAAAGTTTTCGGAAATTTACCTGAAATTTTTCGTCCCTTTGCAACTGTAATAATAAATTGAAGGAATTCATCAGTAATTTAAATGTCTCACAACATAAATTAAGCCCAACAATGACTAGTGCCGATTATAATCTGCATGCACTTGTATTAAATCTCAGGTCAATTTTTCTTGAACTTTTTTTTAATGTGATTATGCTAAACTTAAAAATGAGTTAATAGTGATTTTTCTTATTATTTTAATTTACATTGTTTATTTCAAACAGATTCACAAAACCATTTCAGTTTTCACACAATTTACAGCAAAATACCAAGTAGTCCTGATTTAAAGAATAAATTCTGTCATTTCAGAGGTCAGATTTTAGGCATTAGTGGTCAAGAGGTCATGGACACACAGGCATTTAATGATAACCCTCTACTGACAGCCAACAATTTACGTCAGGCTATATTCTTCCACTTACGAGCCACTTTTACCTGCTTCTATTTTAGACAGCCTTCAGGCACCTGCTCAGAGATACGAAAGAGTCGCTCTCTGTGCATCTACAAACAGATTTAGAAAAAACAGAGGAAGATTCATGCAGTTTAAACAAGAGACAAACAGACAAAAATACATGAACTGTGTTGGAAAATACTTCATTTCTGCATTTAGCTGAAATTTATTACAATTTTGATGTTCATACTGTAGGTTCATGTCCATGTTGTCACCAAATACTTTAGCATTGCTTACATAGATTTGACCAAGTTTAAACAACCTGACTACTTCTCAACTAGCACTCGCAGAAAATGCACAAAGAAAAAAACCTGTTCAAAAATGTGGTCTCATTTTGAACTCGAAGACTCTTTTGTTGTTCAGATGAAAAGTCTGGGATAATTTATGCGAGTTTGGCTGCAGACCTCCACATGACCCTAAAATGCCAGACTCACATTACAAAACACAACTAATCAAACAGTACGACCCAAGCAGGTTAACCAAGTTAACAGTGTTTGAATGAACTTATACAAACAGTTAAAAGGAAAGAGTAGACAGCAGAGTCGCTGTCAGCCAATGAGCGTTTGTACTTTAAAACAAGCGAACACTTCCCTTTTGTTCGGTTGTTTCTGAACCAAATATAAAGTAACACTGAATAAAGCAGCGACTAAAAGCGTTCAAACAGCTGTGGAGAGTAAAACGGACGTGTATTGTCGTGTAAAGGAGGAATAAACCTGCTGTAAACGATCCAGCCGCGGAGGAACAAGTGCAGCTCAAAGTCCTCAAACCTCTCGAGACCAGAGTCCATAGAAACCGGAGAAAAACAATCGTCAAACCCCGAAAACGCAGCGAATGAATCCCGTACAAACACTCACCCAGGCGGCGTCAAGGGCTCCGCACCTCCGCGCTCGGGTTAAACGTTTAAACTTTAAAGAGTTTGTGAGAGCTGATGCCGCGACCTGTTTCTCCCTCTCAGCAATGTTGTGTGTGTGTGTGTGTGTGTGAGAGAGAGAGAGAGAGAGCAAAAGAGGTGTAACAGGGGTGAGACGCTTACAAACAACGCGACATACGTTGTAATTTTATTTATTTTATTTTTTTTGTGATTTATTTATTTTTTTTTAGGATTTTATGGGGGTTTTTTTAGAAAAAGAAAACATTATTTTTTATGAACGTAACTAAAGAATACAATATACATTTACATTTATTCACAGACGCTTTTATCCAAATCGACTTACAAGGAATACATCAAGCCATTCATCTTAAAGAGGCAAATAGACACAGTAAGTGCTCGTAATACCAAGTTTCAAGCATTGTTCAAATAAGTACAGGCTAGACAGGCAACGATTAAAGAAAAGAAAAAACAAAGTTTGCTCAATGGAACATCATATGTTAGAACAAAATAGGAATAATAAATATTTTAAAAATAGTAATAAATCTAAATATTATTTAATATTTAATTATCTATGTTATGTTGTTTATGAAAATTGTTAAATATATATGTGATAAATAAAATATCAACTTGCGACAGCTTGGTTAGTTATTAGAATGATAAAACCTCATGAATGATTCAGTCTTTTTAAAACAAATGGGTTGAGTGAATGATTCAATGACTCGTTCCTAAAGTCATCTGAAGTATGCAGATGACACTACAGTCATCGGTCTCATCAAGGACGGAGACGAGTCTGCTTACAGACAGGAGGTTAAAGAGCTGGCTGTCTGTGCAGTCTTAACAACTTGGAGCTGAACACCCTCAAAACTGTGGAGATGATCGTGGACTTCAGGAGGAACCCCCCTGCACTCCCCCCACTCACCATCATGAACAGCACTGTGGCTGCAGTGGAGTCATTCAGATTCCTGGGCACCACCATCTCTCAGGACCTGAAGTGGGACACTCACATTGACTCCACTGTTAAAAAGGCCCAGCAGAGGTTGTACTTTCTTTGCCAGCTGAGGAAGTTTAACCTGTCACAGACTTGTGACACTATAACAAATTCCTTGTATGTGCAAACATACTTGGCAATAAAGCTCTTTCTGATTCTGATTCTTTCTAATGGCTGTCACTTGTTTTGTTCATAAATAAATCAGAGTTTGTGAACAAATGGGTTGAGTGAATGATTTAATGACTCATTCATAAAGACAAATGAATCAGAGTTGTTAAACAAATGACTGAATGATTCAGTATGTACTTGTAATACACTTCTTGTCACCTACTGGTGTAACTGTGAAATCTGCAGTAAGTGGCTCTGAAAAATACATTAATACACACACAGACAGTCTGTTTGTAACCAAATATAATATTTGACAAATATTTAAAAATAGATATTTTATCAAAATAAATTATTTTAGTCAGCCTTGTAATAAAGTTATTTATCTGTTTTAAATGTGTAATTTTTTTCAGCAGTGACGTTGACAGGATTTACTACATAATTACATATTGGTTCAAGACATAGACCGAGCCAGGCAGTCTCTGTAATCAGTATTGTCTTATCAAACTGGGAAGTTTTATAAACACGTGTCAAAATGAATTATGAAACGCCTCATTATAAACTCAAATGTGTATAAACTGCTGCCTTCATATCAGAAGCCGTTTATGTAAGTCATGAATGCTGACAGATGCACTTAACTTACAGATTTATCCTAATTACTTATCTGTATTTGGAAAATATACAATATATAGAGAGTAAATATAGATATATGGATTTATTGAGAATATAGAGTAAAATATGTAAAGTTATTGCACCTGTAGGGTCATTGTGTTTATGTAACCTGTAATTAAAAGCTGACCTGTGGTCATAGTGTTACATAACCTCAGTATGTGAGGATCCGTGTTACACTGTAACCTAGATTAGCTTTAATCCTGCAGCTCTGAGGACAGAGGAGTGTCCGCGTTCTCCCTTTATGGCCTCTCTGTCTCAACTTTTGGGCCTCGACATTACAGTGGATATTTATAAGAACTAAAAAGAGAAAAAATAAACATTTATCACTTTACAAGCAAGCTGGAAGAAAGAAATGAAAGGCCCCTTGTCAAAAGGTCAAAGGTTATGTGCCATTTTCTGCCCGTGGAGGAGTGAATCCAAAACATGAGTGTAGAGGACAGAGCAAGCGTTGTCTTTTTCCTCCACATTACCAGGCAAAAGAAAGACACAAAAACATTCTTTATTTGCATTGTTATTTGCATTATTTAAAATTAATAAATATCTCATAACCTGTGTGACTCGTGCTGTTATCCATCAAACCTTCCTCTGGCTACTGGATATTTAGCTGATGATCCATGCAAAGTGTTTCAGTCTGTTTTCATGTCTTGTTTTCATAGTGACCCTTTAAACCTCTTTATCTGTTACACCCTGATCGCCCGAGCTGTAAGAATGTTTACGAGAGTGATTTGAGGTAATGACACTCCTCACACAGATGCAGTCTCACACACAGAGCTGATAAATCAGCTGTAGTTCAGCGTGTGCTGGTGAACTGCTCTGTAACACAGATAACATGTTTGTGAGAGCTGTACGTCACGCTCTGAGTGCTGCCTGTAATGCTGATCAGTCACTGATCGTAAACATGCATGTGCTGCATTCAGAATGTGAGGCATTTTATCACCAGATCTGACCTACTGTATATAGACATGAACAACAGGAATCAGATCAACTAGATTCTGACATGTTATGAAGAAAAAGTGAGTAGTGCTTGTCTGTGCAATTTATTGCAATTGTGTATTCTAGGTGGTTGGTAGGGAGTTGCTATGTGGTTATTATGTGTTCTAGGTGGTTGTCGGGGAGTTCATTTGTGCGTGCTAGGGCACAGCGTTGCTATGTGGTTGCTAGGGTGTTGCTATATGGTTGCTAGGGTGTTATAGGTGGTTGTCAGGGAGTTGCTATGTGGTTGCTAGGGCACAGAGTGGTTATGTGGTTGCTAGGATGTTGCTATATGGTTGCTAGGGTGTTCTAGGAGGTTGCTAGGGCACAGAGTGGCTATGTGGTTGCTAGGATGTCGCTATATGGTTGCTAGGGCGTTCTTGGTGGTTGCCAGGGAGTTGCTATGTGGTTGCTAGGGCACAGAGTGGTTATGTGGTTACTAGAATGATGTTATATGGTTGCTAGGGTGTTCTAGGTGGTTGCCAGGGTGAATCTAGGTGGTTACATTTGTATTCTAGGAGGTTGCCAGGGAGTTGCTATGTGGCTGCTAGGGCATAGAGTGGTGATGTGGTTGCTAGGATTTTGTCATGTGCTTGCTAGGGTTGTTCTAGGTCGTTACCAATGGAGTTGCTGTTTGGTTTCCAGGGAGTTTCTAGGGTGCTGGAGAGTTGCTATGTGGTTGCTAGTGTGGTTAAGGTGGTTGCCAGGGAGTTTCTATGTGGTTGCTATAGGATGTTGTTATATGGTTGCTAGAATATTCTTAGTGGTTGCCAGGGAGTTGCTGTGTGGTTGCCAGGGTATTCCAGGTGGTTGCCAAGGAGTTGCTATGTGCTTACTAACACTGTGTCTACACCGGACGCGCGTGGTGCGGGCCGACAAAATACGATAGAACTCATTATAATCAGTGATGCTGTCTACACTGGATGCGGCGCTGTGCGACACGACAAATCCCCGACAGTAAACTGCTGCCGCGTTCTATTTATGACATATTGACACAAATTTCAAATGATTTTCAATGGTTGCTTTGTTGCGTCCGGTGTAGACAGACTTTAGCTGTTGCGGCGCGGCGCGACACGACAACGGTTGCGTCCAGTGTAGACACGGTGTAAGATGTTCTGAATAGTTGCCATATGCTGCCAGGGAGTTACTATGTAGGTGCTATGGTGTTGTGGATGGTTTCCAGGGAGTTGCTATGTGGTTACTAGGACATTCTGAATAGATGCCATGGAATTTGCTATATGGTTGCCAGGGTATTCCGGGTTGCTGTCAGGGAGTATCTATGTGGTTGCTAGGGCATAGTTTTAGCTCATATGAGGTTTGTTTATTATTAATTTGATATTTCTCTTTCACAAAACTCTGTACTCATGTGATGCAATTCAAATGTGACCTTTTGAATATCCTACTGTATCCCAGCAGTAAAAGCAATAATCCTTATCATAGTGCAAATTATTATGTAAATATTATTTTTAGTGGTGCACACAAGCACACACATGACTTCCACATACAGTTCTCTCTATTTTACATCATACAGCAGATAGTTGCGGTCCTGCTGATTGGTCAGTTCATATATGTTGTGAAGCAGCTACTGTGTATGTAAACTATTTAACATCCTCTCTACCGTTTCCATTTCAGCTGCTCTTCTGAGTGGCTCAGGGTGGAACGGATCCAATGGGATGCAGAATTATCCTCAGACATGCCTGGAATCCAGATCATGGAGATCACAGCAACAATCAGGCCTCCAGAGAGGAGTTTGCTGGTCTGAACCCGACTTCAACAACTCTAAACCCTGGTTTAAACCACAAATCCAGGACAAAACTGATCTCATATCAGCCGTGATATGACACACATGTGACCATTATAAGTAACAGAATGGTTCAGTAATATTAATAGTATTTTAAAATAATTATATAAATAATAAAAACGAATTAGATATAATTCTGATAATGAATAATTCGTTTTTATATTTAATTATTTGTTAAAATAATTAATTTTATTTAGTATGCATACAATTTTTTTGTTACATGTTTAATCTATTAATTATTTAATGTATGCATTTAATGTATGTATAGATTTTGTGCATTATTATTATTATGCAATGTGACGATGTTGTGATCTGGTTTAATAATGTAATTATTAATGTAATAAAAATAATGTAAGTTTTTATGTTTAATGTAATAATAATAATATGCATTATTATTATTATTATTATTATTATTTTGCTGTGTATCGAGGATGTTGTGGGCTGTTTTTCAGCAAGAAAAAATTCAAAGACAAAGACAGAGACAGAGGCGCTGGCATCTAGTTTCAGTGTAATATTCCTGCAGGATTAAACTGTCCTTGAGTCAGTCAGACATGAACAGATTCAAACCTGCATGTCATTACAGAATTACACAGCACATTTCAACACAGTCCCGGTCCAATAAAAGTACAGGAGTCTAGTTCGTGTATCAACACTAACACAATGCGAGATGTTTGGAGCTCGTGCTCCATCTAGTGTCGAAGCATCGGACAGGGTTATCTATTATTTGTGTTCAACATGTTCATTAGAAAATATTTTTCACAAAATATCTTTCACAAATTATAAGCAAGTTTTTCTAGCTCTTTTTTAGGTGTTATATATTACTATTATTATTATATATCATATATTTATACTACTTTTATATATTAAAATTACAATGTGATAATTTTAGTGTTCATTAGAAAATATTTGTATTTTTTTAAACATCTTTCACAAATTATAAGTGTTTTTCTAGCTATTTTCTGATGTGTTATATATTGCTATTATTATATATAACGGTTTAAAAAATATATTTTTTATTACAAGATCATTTTAGTGTACTCACATTCACCACTAGAGGTCACAATATAACAAATTTTGATACCCACTTTTTATTTTTTTTAGCAATTCAAGCAGGTTTTGTGTAATTGATTAGTTTCATATACTTTAGATTACGTATTATGATTAATCGGAGTTATTATTTTATGTGAATATCAGAATATCAGTTTATAGGGTGAATTCAGGTAAAGTAAATTCAATGTGTAAATGTGTAATTTAGACACCCAGAGGTATCTAAAAAAAAATAAGCAGACACTCTTTAGAGTCTTATAATGAAACTCTTTAATAGCAGTACATCTGGATCCAAACCGAATCCACCTCAGTTTCCGTTCACACTGTACATGGCACTTTTTTCTCTTTTCAAAATAAAATCAGATACAGTATATCAGAGATATTTGGCCAGTGACGTCACAGACACTTTGCCAAAATGAATTTGACGGCAGACGTGTCGTTGGCATGCCAGATCCACAACCAATCAAAACCCATTTCAGAACGACATCACACGCTCACAATACTTATACATTCATCTTTCAAATCAGAAAATAAACTCGTGGCGAAAGCACAACGGACAAAATCACTGCAACACAAAGTCTCAATATGCACATGCACGGGTGTATTTAACCACAAGATATCACACTTCATTTGTATTTTTCAGATAGGCCACTTGAATTTGTTCAGAAATTACTATAAAAACAAAACGGTTCAAATCAACAGGTCAGGAGATGCACCAAACCAACATTTCCTAACTTTGAATATATTCCTACCATGAACTCAGTTTGTTCAAACTTGTAAAAAATCTGCAGAAAAAATACCTGTATGACACTGAATCCTCTTGTTAGCTCAAATAACACCCCAAAATCACACAACCAGCTAAAATAAACATCTATAGACAGAAAATAATGTTCATATAAGATATCTACACATACACATGAGGAGACATTTGCATACACATCTGACAATGAAAAATAATGTTTCAACTCAACAGGCAACACTTTACAACATTTAGACGCGCACAGCAAATGTTGTCGCCCATGATAAGTTCAAAACAAGTTTATCTTTACTTTCCCGACATACACACAATAAAATATCATTAAATTAGGCCAGAAACATATCTATACGCAAGTACGTGAATGTAGACTCCATCTGAAATGTCTCAGCGTTGATGCGGCAGACTAGTGTACTTGTGTGGAGTATGTTTCTGGTGTTTAGTGTACTTCAGTACATGTAGACAGCAGCAGCAGGGCCTGTACGTCATCAAGATCAGACCAGGCTGAATGGCTTTTATTATTTTCTACGATGCGGCCGTATCATATGGAAGCCTGTTTCCACCACTGAATAAAAAAAGGTAATTGCGACTTTTTATCTCGCAATTCTGACTTCAGAATTGCACCATATAATCTCACAATTGTGAGTTACAAAGTCGACGCCGATGGCCTCGTGGGCAGACAAACAGCGCCACACTACTTACTGTACTAGGCAAAGAATGAACATATTCAACTGATGCTTTTTTGAAAGTCTTTTAACTGACCTGAATCTTCAGATGGATGGAAGCTTTGCTGGACTCTGAGATCTCCTTTCATGCAAAAACTTTCGAGCAAACTTTTTTTTTTTTTTAAACGTGTCAAGATAGAAATGACATTATCATGCCAGAATCAGAGCAAAACATTTTCCTTTAGAATTAATCTGCATCTATCTAATAAAATTAATGCATAATCCAATGTGTCGGTGCCGATGGCCTCGTAGGCAGTGCGCCGACATACAGCGCCATTGCGCTTCGGGTGTCACGAGTTCGAGTCCCGGCTCGCGGACCTCTCCCGATCCCATCCCCCTCTCTCTCACCCACTTCACTTCCTGTCTATCTATACTGTCCTATCAAAATAAAGACATAAAACGCCATAAATAAACCTTTAAAAAAAAAACTTGCCATTACAACAAAGAAAGTCAGAATTGCGAGATATAAACTCACAATTATGCAAAATTGTCAGAATTGCATGATATAAACTCACAATTGCAAATAACAGTCAGAATTGCAAGAAAAAAATCTGAGTTGCGAGATGTAAACTTGCAATTGCGAGAAAAAGTCAGAATTGCAAGATATAAACTCAGAATGTTTTACTTTTTCTCAGAATTGCGTGATATAAACTCGCAATTAAGAGAAAAAAAGTCAGAAATATGAGACAGAAACTCGCAATTACGAGAAAAAGTTAGAATTACGTGATAAACTTGCAATTATGAGAAATAAAGTCAGAATTGTGAGATATAAACTTGCAATTCGGACTTTTTCTCTCATAATTGTGATATAAACTCACAATTGCAACTTATAAAGTCAGAATTACGGGATATAAACTAACAATTATGAGAAAAAGTCATGCAATTAAAAAAAAATATTCTAAATTGTGAGTTTATATCTCAATTTTGAATTTATTTCTTGAAATTGCCAGTTATAAAGTCAGAATTGCAAGATATAAACTCACAATTTAGACTTTTTTTTCGCGCAATTCTAATTTTATACCTCATAATTGCAAAAAAAAGTCAGAATTGTCAGATAAAAAGCTTTTTTATGTTTTGTTCAGTGGCGGAAACAAGCTTCCACAGTATCACGTCCTGTCATATTGCACAATTGCATGTACGAACTTCCAGTGGAATGTGATGAAACGGCGAAACATGACATATTTCCACCTACTGGAGCAGTAGAGCATTCCAAAGGAAATCTATGGATTGCTACAACCTACGAGAAGCCGACGGCAGGGGTTTTAGAGGAAGCAAAGGCCATTCAGTTTTCCCAGGAAGAGTTTGCACATGGACGCGTAGCAGCTAGAACTAGGGTTATCAAGACATCTTTAACCCTTAAACCGAGAGAGAGCCAAACACCAAATGAAGTCCGTTTCGGCTACATCGATGACAAAGTTCACAAAGGCAAGAATGAAGTCGAAGCGTGTCGGTGTTCTTCTGCTAGCTAAATCATTAGAAAAAGCAGAAAATGTAAACTGGATAAGCGTTATCGCCTTGTTTAAGAAATGTTTCGGTGGAAGTCACCGGAGAATCGGACCTACGCTAACAATAAAAGCTGTTATCGCTAATGTCTACATCTCTAAATGGCCTTTTTTCACTCTTGTTTGAGTTTAAAAGTAACATTTCAAGAAAATTAAAGTGTTTTAATTTTAAAATTAATAAAATCTAAAATATTAAAATCACCTGAATTTAAATTTTTTTGTGTTCAGCTAAAAATATACAGATAAAGTAATAAAAATTTAAATAAATAGCTGAATTTTCTCAATAAATAAATAAATAATTTTAAATAATAATTCTGCCCACCCAGATTAGGTCAAAAACTCACAGTCCAAAAACAGATTTCAACACATTTTTGTTTTTACATTTCATAACATCATAACATTTGATTTACAGTAAAGGCATCAAAATCTAGTTTTAATCTAAACTGGGCAAGTCAAAAGAGAATAAACCTCTCTAAATGAATAAATAAAGCAAACATGTCGTAGTCGCCTCCACCTGCACCCTGAGCGTGTCCTGCGTGTTTCCGTGGCGACTCAGGGTCAGAGGTCACAGGTGTGGTGGGGTCACATCAGGACGTTGTTGCGGGTGTCGGGGAGCCGCAGACCCACCAGACCTCCGGCGACCAGCACAGACGACGCCAGCAGGATCGGGATGGATTTCGTGATTCCCACCAACGACCCAAATATTACATTCCCCAAGACTGCGGCCAGCTTACACATGGCATTACAAAAGCCAAAGCCAGTCCCTCTGCAGGAGACAGACACAACCAGTGTTAGCAGTATTAACAGCCCTAGCAGTTTTCCAGGAACGTTATATTAAGCTTTGACATCTAAAGGACAGAAGCTGATCATTTCAGCTACAGCCAAACTACACTTTAGATAAAGTTGTTAGCTACAAACTACACTGAAGCTATTTATGGGGCACGTTATTTTAAATAATATAATTATCAGACTAGACCTTTCCCTTAAACAGAGCAGTGTTTATTTTGCACAAAAATTAGGATATTATTACATTACATTACGTTTTGTAGGATATGTTATTGGGATGACAGCATCAAATATAGTAATAAACATTTATATTAAACAACTAAAAAAAACGGTAAAATAATATATAAAAATAAACAATATAAATAATAAATAAGTATAAATCTTATAAATTATTAAATTAAATAAATATAAAAAATGATATATTTAAAGCAACTGATAAAACTGAAAAATAAACTATATAAATAATAAAGTATAAATCATATAAATTATCAAATTAAGTAAATATAATAAACTATATTGTTTTTTTATATGATTCTAATATATGTAATTACATCAAAAACAGCAGTTTCTATGTAGCATAGGGAGATCTAGGAACAACAGAATATTTGCTTAAAAAGGTGAAAAAAATATTTTTAACCATTTTTTAAAAGCTAATAACTTTCATTACTTTTAATTTTAGTTGATTTTGTTATGTGCTTTTGTCGTTTGTATTTTTATTATTTTTTTAATATTATTACTTTTTTTATTTGTTTAATTATTTTTTATTTCAGTTGTAGTTTACTTTTTAAAGTTTATTTTCCAGTAATTTTTCATGTGCACTGAGTAAAGTTGATACGAGTCAAGTGAAAGCATCTTGTGATCCGTGTTTATTAGTGATTGCATGTATTTGTGTGTCCATGTACCTCCTGTTGGTAGGATACAGTTCGGCCGTCACCACGTCCAGTGAGTTCCAGGCCGATATACTGAGTCCGTTATAAAGGCAGAGCATCGCTATCATCATGGACTCACTGGTGCCGAACCACAGAAAGAAACAACTGATGCCGGACAACACCATCGAGCCGCCTGAACACAAAAAACACAGTCAACAATATGATATCAGACGAGTTTATTTCATTTAGTATTTGGTGAATCTGGTGAAGTGACTGACCTAACATGCTCAGACGGCCCACTTTATCCATGAGGAGGGCGGAGACTATGTTGCCTGGCAACACGGCTAGTGTTCCAAGGAAGTTGATGAAATACACCCAGTATGCGCTGTAGTCGTCATCAAACGTCATCTGACAGCCGGTCTTGTTGTGCGCAAACGTGGAGTTGATCACAGAGGAACCGATGAATTTCGAGTCATCAATATCTGAACGAGACAGACGGGAGACGATGAGTTACATGACAGATGCTCAATTTACAAATCCATTCAAACATTTTAATTTCCTTAAAAAAATTATTTAAAACCTACAGAAAATAACAACGTGCTGTACAATTAAGATAGACAGACAGAGACAGACAGACATTTAGAATGATAGAATGACAGACAGACATTTAGAATGATAGACAGAACGACAGAGACAGACAGACTTTAGAATGACAGACAGACAGAAGATAGACAGACAGATAGATAGATAGACAGACAGACATTTAGAATGATAGACAGAACAACAGAGAGACAGACAGATGTTTAGAATGATAGAACAACACAGACAGACAGACATTTAGAATGATAGACAGAACAACAGAGAGACAGACAGACGTTTAGAATGATAGAACAACAGACAGATAGACAGACAGACAGACATTTAGAATGATAGACAGAACAACAGAGAGACAGACAGACGTTTAGAATGATAGAACAACAGACAGATAGACAGACAGACAGACATTTAGAATGATAGACAGAACAACAGAGAGACAGACAGACGTTTAGAATGATAGAACAACAGACCGACAGACAGACATACATACAGATAGATAGACATTTATAGATAGATAGATAGATAGATAGATAAACAGACATTTAGAATGATAGACAGAACAACAGAGACAGACAGACGTTTAGAATGATAGACAGAACAACAGAGACAGGCGTTTAGAATGATAGAATGACAGACAGACGATAGACAGATAGATAGACAGACAGACAGACAGACAGACATTTAGAATGATAGACAGAACAACAGAGA